TCTGTCACCTGTTCTAACAAATTACAAACTCCAAGAAGGAACCATTACCGGAACTCCAATTTATGCCCCGTGGTTCAGAAGCACAAGTGACAACCTGGGACTTACAATGGGTTCTAGAAGTGCAGGCAGTTTTGTGGGACTGAGCTCTTAACCTGTGGGGTTTCCCTCTAACTCCTGGTGTCGCAGCCCCTATGGCCCTGGTCTCGATCAACACAGGAGGAAACCAGGTGTGATGCGGATTAGAAGTAGAAGCTTGCAGGAGGCGGGCTAACCTTGATTGCAGGGTACCCCCAAGCGACCTCCACACTAGCCTTTTATTGAGACAGTACAAGACAGGTAAGGAGAGTATTAGGCAAAGACTACGTGCCTAAGGATCGCCATGGGCTCAGGCTCTTTCTCTGCAAGGAGAACCTGCGGATGAATTGCCCGAGGGTCCAGCCCCCAGCTGCAAATCATCTTGCTCAGAGGTATCTGGCTCTTGGGGTCCCCTACACCCTGGCAGTGTCAGAATTGAATTAACTTATAGGACATATCAGATCTGGGAGTGTATTAGTCACCTGGGGAAAGTTGTAAAATAGATTCCAAGACCCCACTGCAGACCTACTGAATCAGAATCTCTAGGGTGAGGGATTTTTACTTTTAAATTCCTTCGGTGGCTCTGATAGGCAGACATTTCTTTAAACTGGCACCCTTTTCTTATTGTCAAGATTTTTGGACACTGAGTGAGTAATCAGAGGATTATTTCCTGAGTAATAGGAGTGGTTAAAAGGGATTCGGATGGTTTTGAGGCTGTGCAGTGCAGGTTATGAATGATTGCTTTGAATAGTTCCGCCTCAGAGAAATACAAATACACCTCTCTGATGATGAAAATGTTCATTTCTAGTAGATATGGTTTATCCACAGCCCCCCATGAACACTGTTGGTTTCCCTTTATCTGGACCCCATAAAGACTTCTTGGGGTCCAGATAAAGGGGACCAACAGTGTTCTTGGGGGGGTGTAGATAAACCATATGAGTTATGACAATTAGGTCTGTGAACTTGCCACTGCACACTTACACCGGCAGCACTGTACAAACAATGCAGTAAGGTTTAATAACCTTCATGTATCAGTGTCTCACAGATGTGTTGGTGTCAATGTGTGGCAGTGTCTTCCTGAGTGACATTCATTATTGCTGATGTGTATTTTTGTGAGCCGTCATGAAAATGTCAGGGCTTAAATTAAAGCAACAAGTCAATACTCATAAATTTCTTATTAAACTTGGCAAAAATGGAAATTAAATCAGAGATATGTTAGTCCAAGTTTATGGGGATAATGCCATGAAGAAAATGGCAGTGTATAAATGGATTGAACATTTTTCTGAGGGGAGAGAAGGTGTCACTGATGAAGAGTAATCAAGGCAGCCAGTAATGAGCAGAACTGATGAAAACATTGCAAAAATTCATTAAAAGGTGCATAAAAATTGTCAGCTGTGAGAAACATAGCAAACCAAGTAAATATGGATAGAAAAACAGGAAAATCTGGGGGGGTTTGTTTTTTTGTTTTTTGAGATAAGAGTCTCACTTTCTGGGTAGAGTGCCATGGCATCATGGCTCACAGCAACCTCAAACTCTTGGGCTTAAGGGATTCTCTTGCCCCAGTCTCCCAAGTAGCTGGGACTACAGGCACCCACTCCAATGCCTGGCTAATTTTAGAGAAAGGATCTTGCTCTTGCTCAGGCTAGCCTTGAACTTGTGATCTCAAGCAATCCACCTGCCTCAGGCTCCCAGAGTGCTGGGATTATAGGCATGAGCCACTGCCTCCACCAAAAGGAAAATCTTAACTGAAATTCTTGGCCAACAACTCGTGGCTCTTGCATCGTAACAACCTACCAGCTCTCACAGCACTGTCTGTGAGGGAGTTTTTAGCCATTAAATAACTGTATTGGAACACCCTCCCTACTCATCTGATCTGGATCCCAAATGACTCTATCATTATTCAAAGATAGAGGAAATATTGATGACATTCAGGCTACCAAGGGTAATACAACAACAATTCTGATGGCCATTCCAGAAGAGTTCTGAAATTGCGTTGACGTATGGACTAGGCGTCAGTGCATAGCTTCTGAAGGGGAGTACTTCAAAGGATCATAGCGATAGTTAGCAATGAGATATGTAGCACCGCCCTTGGAGTTTAGATGATAGTGTTTGGTTTTGTTTGTTTTGCTTTGTTTGTCTGGAGCACATATCCCCCAGCCCGTCAGCTTGCATGTTTCTCCAGACTCTTCAGCAGCATATTTACTAATTGGCTCTTATGACAGACACTTTGGAGATGGCTAAGTTCATTCATGCTATATTTTTGCCCTGGATCACTTCAATCTAATCCCCTGACATACTTAACTACATCTCCAATAGAGGTTCTGTGCAACTGAGAAACCATCTGCTAATCCTTCAACTGTATTAAACAGTGCCATCTGTGCCTGCTTCGGTTCAGATGAAATGTGCAAAACCAAGGAATATGAGCTGGAAGGGGCTTTATAGACATCTTGTCTAACCTCAAAAAGATGATAATGATAGGCAGTTTAGTTGAGTACAGGTTGTGCTAAGGTGTTTTTGGTGGCCACTTCATACTATACGGGATACGGTTCTTGCTTTGGGGTTTGCAATCTGTCCTGTGCAAACCCTGGCTGTGGAGATCCTCACGCCAGGTGCATTTGGGTGTGATGCTTTTGCTTGACAGTAGCTGAATGACCACAGGCAAGCCAAATCTCTCAGACTTGGCCTTCCTTATCAGTAAAATGAGGAAAATGAAGATCTACCTTACAGACTTATTAAGAGAATAAAGCAAATTAATAGAGAAAGCACTCTATAGACCACTCTATAGTGAAAGCACTCAAAGACCAGGTGCTTTGTCTTTTGGTTTGGGAAGAGCATTGGACAGGACGGAAAACACAGTCAATCAATCAATCTGAAAAGCACTCAGTTATTACGGGGGTCCCCAACCCAGAGGATATTAGCTAAACCTAAAAGGAATGACCTTGGACATAACTTAGCATATTGAATAATTAGTGACATTTTCTAGTCAAGAAATCATTGATATCCTTATAGGAAAAAGCCCTAAGCAATACGGTCAAACAAAAGACTGTATCTGCTTTTGAGAGATTACAAGGAAATTAACCATCTAGTTGCACTTCAAGGCATCTGTGTTATTACGTAAGGTAACCTAGAAAAAGGGAGATATTGAAAGACCTACGAATGTACTATCTAGCTGGGCATTGTGGTGCACACTTGTAATCTCAGCTACTAGGGAGGCTGACACAAAAAGATTGCTCAGACCCACGAATTTGAGGTGGTTGTGAGCCATGATGCCACGACACTGTACCCAGAGTGATAGAGTGAGACTCTATTTCCAAAAAAAAGAAAGTACTATAAAAGTATATGGGTAGCTCCAACCTATAATCCTAGCACTCTTGGCAGCTGAGGTGGGAGGGTCACTTACAATCAGGAGTTTGAGGTTGCAGTGAGCTGAGCTGATACCACTACCTTCTAGCTAGCAGTGACAGAAGGAGACTGTCAAGAACAAAAGAGAAAGGAAAGAAAAGAGAGAGAGAGAGAAAGAAAGGAAGGAAGGAAGGAAGGAAGGAAGGAAGGAAGGAAGGAAGGAAGGAAGGAAGGAGGGAAGGAAACAGGCTAGCATACTTTTCAATTTGTTTAAAAGTCTGGCTTAATGACTATGGCATAGTATCAATAGCTACTTTCATAAGACATTAAAGATATAACTTTAAATGATTTTTACAAGTAAAAATAAACCAGTGTAGTCATTTAATTAAAAAAATATTTATTGAGGATATAGAGTAATCAAAGATTGGCCCTGTCATTAGAGCAACAATTGTCAAGTAGCCAAGTAGCGCAATCTAATAATTACAAGATGATGGAAAACGGAAGGATCAGAGCACACACAGAGAGCTGGTCCCCAGCAGGGACTCGGGCAAGGCAGTGTCAAGGCTGCGAGGCTGGCTACCAAAGGGGAAGCAAGGTCTTGCTGAGACGTGAAAGCAATGTGGGAGGAAAGGCAGAAGGACAGCGTGTAAAAAGACACAGAGGCATGACAGAACGTGGTTTTTCGGGGACCAGAGCGGACCACAGGATGAGTGTAAGGCAGTTAAGAACTTAAATGGAAGGCTGGGCACTGTGGCTCACACCTGTAGTCCCAGCACTCTAGGAGGCTGGAGGCAGGCTGTTTGAGCTCAGGAGGTTAAAACCAAGGCGAGGTGGCTTATGCCTGTAATCCTACCCCTCTGGGAGGCTGAGGCGGGTGGATTGCCTGAACTCATAGGTTCAAAACCAGCCTGACCCAGAGCAAGACCTTGTCTCTAAAAAAAATAGCTGGGCATTGTGGCAGGCACCTGTAGTTCCAGCTACTTGGGAGGCTGAGGCAAGGGAATTGCTTGAGCCTAAGAGTTAGAGATTGCTATGAGCTATGACACCACAACACTCTACTGAGGGTGACAAAGTGAGACTCTGTCTCTGAAAAATAAATAAATAAATAAATAAAAGGGAGCCTGAGCAAAAGCAAGATCCCTTTTTCTAAAAATAGAAAAAACTAGCCATGTGTCATGGAGGGCGCCTGTTGTCCGAGCTACTCAGAAGGCTGAGGCAAGAGGATTACTTGAGCCCAAGAGGTTGAGGGTGTTGTGACACCACCGTGGCACTCTAGCCTGGGGCAACAGAGTGAGACTCTGTCTCAAAAAATGAAAAAAAAAAATGGGAAGGGGTGGAATCATGTCTAGTTTATGTGCGACAGCCACTGAAGGGTCTAACGTGAACAGTACAAGGTCTGGGATTTAGGAATGCCTTTCTCAGAGCAGTGGGGAGGATGATAAGAGCTGGGTAAATAAGAGTAGAGGTAGAATTCCCAGCAGGGCTTGTGGAATGTGGGTAGCCTTCTACTGACACAGACAGCAAACGTTGCTGCTATCACATTGGTTGCTTTATGCCATGATTAGCTGTTTACTCAGTTTTTAAATTTCTTTAGAACAATTTTATTTATAATCTTATTTTTCCCCAATTACCCCCATTTTACACTTAAAATGTTAACAGGCTTGACACTAATGAAATATATTAAGAAGAGTGAAAAATACCTATTCTTAAAAGGGCCTCCCTTTTAAGGGTTTTCTATTAAAAGCTTTGACTATCAATAACATCTTAATGGGCTCTTATAAAACAAAGCATTACCCAAATATGGGTAAAATTACATTATAAATATTTGAAATTATATAATTATTTTCCTATCAGTGAGTGATTCATCATAATTTTCATTATACTTTCGTAATCCCTGAGAGAGGGGCCAGAAACCCATTTTGCAGATAGATAAACTGAGGTACAGAATTCTTCTTGGTTTCATGGAAAAGACTGGAGTATATATATACAGGAATATATCAGAGAGAGTACTGCCGTTTACCTTATCAGGTTTCTTAATCCCTTGCTACACCATTAAGTTTCAGTTTCTTTTCTAAATCCCAAAGTGAGAAGCATGGGAGCTTTGTTATGCTATTCGCTGGAAATACATCACCTGAGATGGACCGAGTGCTCAAAGTGCATGGTGCTGTAAGACTCGAAAGCTGGGGGCCGCTTCTCTGCCTGCTCAGGTTAGAAGAAAGCATCTGTAACACTGATTGTTAATGAAGCACTGCTTGTGATTTAGTTTATGGCCCTTGGAAGTCACAGTATATGATATGCATATTAATGGTTTTGATGTGGAAAACCCCATCATCTGTCCGAAGCCTCCTGGCTGGATTCTTCCTGTATGAGGAGTATGTAGCCTCCCTCATCCCATCCGGTGTACCTGATGGCCCTACAAAAACAAAAAAGACATTCCAGATTCAGACTAAGACAACGCATAAATAAGTAACCCATATGCCAGCTTTTCCCTGCTTACCAAGCTTTAATAAATTATACAAATTATGACTAGAAGGAGTATCCTGGCATTTTGAATGCAACTGAATCATAATGCATAGCATTTGAAAATAATAAAAAAATTGGGCTGGGCCTGGTGGCTCACATCTATAATCCTAGCATTCTGGGAGGCCGAGGTGGATGGCTTGCTTGAGCTCAGGAGTTTGAGACTAGCCTGAGCAAGAGACCCTGTCTCTACTAGAAATAGAAAAATTAGCCAGGCATTGTGGAGATGCCTGTAGTCCCAGCAACTTGAGAGACGGAGGCAAGAGAATTGCTTGAGCTCAAGAGTTTGAGGTTGCTATGAGCTCTTATGATACCATTTCCCTCTACTCAGGGTGACAGAGTGAGACTATGCCTCAGAAAAGAAAAAGAGCCTCGGCACCTGTAGCTCACGTAGCTAAGGTGCCAGCCACATACACCTAAGGTGGTGGGTTTGAATCCAGCCCGGGCCCGCCAAAAAAAAACAATGACGGCTGCAACCAAAAAATAGCCAGGGTTTGTGGCAGGCGCCTGTGGTCCCAGATACTTGGGAAGCTGAGGCAGGAGCCTCGCTTGAGCCCAGGAGTTGGAGGTTGCTGTGAGCTATGATGCCATGGCACTCTACCCAGGGGGATAGCTTAAGGCTCTGTCTCGGCCCGCCAAACCACAATGATGGCTGCAACCAAAAAATAGCCAGGCGTTGTAGTGGGTGCCTGTAGTCCCAGATACTTGGGAAGCTGAGGCAGGAGCCTCGCTTGAGCCCAGAAGTTGGAGGTTGCTGTGAGCTATGATGCCATGGCACTCTACCCAGGGGGATAGCTTAAGGCTCTGTCTCAAAAAAAAAAAGAAAAAGAAAAGAAAAGAAACAGAATCAAATAATGTACACTTTTTTTTTCTCTTCTAGACCTCTAAGATATCTAATCTGTCCATGTTCATAATCTATATATATGAAGAATAAAATTTACCCATTATTCTCCTCTCTATGTATGCAATTCTTATTAGTTAAGTCAGTCTTTATGACATGGCTGTGCCATCATTTATCTAAACATTCTCTTATTGTTTGACATTTTAGTCATTTAAAATTTTATGCTATGATGAACTTTTATACATATCAAAAAAAGGTTTTATTTGAGACAGAGTCTCACTCTGTCACGTAGAGTACCATGGCCTCAGCCTAGCTCACAGCAACCTTGAACTCCTGGGTTCAGTCTTCCTGCCTCAGCCTCCTGAAAAACTGGGACTCAGGTGCATTTTAGTAGAGACTGGAGATGGGGTCTCACTCTTGCTCAGGCTGGTCTCAAACTCCTGAGCTTAAGCAATCCTCCCGCCTTGGCCTCCCAGAGTGCTAGGATTACAGGCGTGAGCCACCGCACCCTGCCTTATATATCATTTTTTGATAGCATTACTAGTTATTTCCTTAGGATAGGTTTAAAAAAAGAATTGCTGGATCAATCATTATTAACATTTTACTTTTTTTGAGACAAGGTTTACCCAGGCTGTGGCATCATAGCTCACAGCAACCTCAAACTCTTGGGCTCAAGCATTCTTCTTGTCTCAGCCTCCCAAGTAGCTGGGACTACAGGACATATCACCACACCTGCTGATTTTTCTGTTTTTTTGTAAAGATGGGGGGGGGGTCTCACTATTTTTTAGGCTTGTCTTAAACTCCTGGTCTCAAGCACCTCAAGTCTTCCCACCTAAGCCTCCCAAAGTAATAAGATTAAAGGGATGGTCCACTGTACCCTACTAGAACTGATTTTTAAAGCGTGGATACATGTTCATGAACTGCTTTGTGACGGCCAATAACATATGAGTTCTGTCCCATCATATGCCTGCTAGCACACCAGAGATTTGGAATTTTGTCAATTGAATACGTAAATAGTCTCTTTGTAAAATACCTGGTTAAAAGAACTTTTCATCAGAAGTAGAGGACCTGCAAATACTGCTGCATTCTGACACAGATCTGGACATCAGAGTTCAACTGAGACAAATATGGAGTGGGCTCCTATGAATGAAACCTGGCCGGCCCTTTAAGGAGCGTGCCATCCTGGCAGAACGCCCATGGCCAAGGACTTTTCTCCCTCCCTCAGAGCGTCACCCCCCAGTGCTCAGGAGAACACAGAGAAGGCCTGGCTTCTAGTGACCTCCTGTGCCTTAATTCCCGTCACCATGATGAAATGGACAAAACCCCATGGAGACAGGTTAATGAGCTTTTAGCTGGACGCTTTGGCCCCACAGAATGTGTCAGATAGATCTGCTTAGGTATTTTAGCCATTGGTCATTTAGTTGGCTCATAATTTTTGTGAAATGGAAGGCAAAGGAGGAAATATTTATTTTATATTTATTCCTATGATCTCACACATCTTATTCATAAACAGAATTTTGTACTTTGTTTTATCTGAATATTTATATTTAAACATGGAGTCCTTAAACAAGGCAACTCTTTGGGAAGAGAACTGTTCATGGGCAGTGTACTCTATCCGCTTTGTCATCTATGCAAGAATCCACATGAAAGTAAATCTTGTTACATCAATCTTTGACCATCAGGGGATATTATCCTCTGGGAAATCATAGTTTGAATATACACAGCTCTAATTCTAGATGCTAATTTAGTCGATTGTTAGATTTAGAGAGGGGCACGGAACTTCTCAGCGTCTCTGACCCAGCCCTCCTTTTGCTTGGCTCTCTCTGGTCAGCTTGTCACTGTGTCTTCCTAAGGCTCTGAAATTATTGACAGTGGTCTTCATGTCTAAAAGTTCTTGAGAAAAGCACATTCTGAGGCAAAATTTCAACAGACCTTCATAATTTTACTGGTAGGGTTTGAAAACTCACTCAATCCCGATGCCCCTTGATAAAATGATCAAAAATAATTACATACCATAAACTGATGGCTGGAATGAGTAATAGACCAGCAGACAGCAGGAAAATGAAGCCAGGAAACCAAGCCACGGTGGCGGAATAAATTCCATTAAAAATAGAAACCGCAGCAACTCCACCAAGTGTTTCTAAGAAAGCAATGCAAGCAAACAGGGCACCTGTAGGGGTGTGGAGAGAGAAAAAGAAAAGTCTGAATTATAAAACAACAAACAAAAGCCAGTGGAACAAAGCTTTACTTGTGGACAACAGCACAGGCGGGAGCACTACTGGGTGAATGCAGAGTCATTCCCTCAAAGTTCCCGAGATGGTAGGAACCCATTTTGCTGATGAAGAAACTAAGGCAAAGAGTTCTTGAACTTGATGTAAGAGATGCTGAAAACTCTTAATAGCCGAGTTCTAAGGTCTACAGGGCAAAGCTAAAAAGGCAATGGCAGCAGACTAGTCTGCAAACTATAGTATCTGCCGTCTCCTCCCTGGCATAGACTGGGCACTCGGCAGCTCAGGATGCCAGGCTAAACTGTGTCACCTGCTTGGGCAGGTTGGCCTCTAACAAAGCTTTTTAGCCCCCAGGCTAAACGGTGTCACACTGCTTGGGCAGGTTGGCCCCTAACAAACAAAGCTTCGCCTCTAGGGCCTTTTGAAAGGTAAATAAATCCTTTTAAAGGTAAATAAAGCTGCTTCTCAGTTCTGGCTTGAGTGGCAACTGCAGGCAAGAGAGGTGAGATTCTTACCATATATCCTGCAATTTGAATTTCAATCCTCTCATCAAAGGGACCAAAAAATCAAGTCCCCTGCTAGTTTGCTGCAAGTTTGAGTGATCAAGTTAACTACCCTGTCCTCTAGTGAAGGTTTATACTACCACCGTTTGGTGTTGAGTGATTTTCTTTTTTTCTGTTTTCCTTGCCCAATCGAAAGCTCCCTTACAAATTGATGAAGGGGTACTAGGAGACAACTAAAGTAAGGGCCCCAAAACGCTGTGAAGGAGCAGACCTAGCTAAAATAATAATAACAATCAAACCCTATGAAGGAATAGGCTTAGTTAAAATAATGGTAATAATCAGCCAATGCACCCAAAGTAAATATTTTTTAACTTTTTTCCCCTAGAAAACATCACCTGCGGTAATTTTTGAGATATCTTCCAGGCCTTTCATTCCCATGGATTGACTGACCTGCCCAGGCTAAGGAACTCACCCAGCTGGTCCTGGACCCCACCCAAGGTCCTGCATTCCATTGGATTGACTGACCCATAGAGACAGCAGCAGCCCAACCAAGGACTGCTGATTCCTCCCTGAAACCAGCCTATTACCAGATCCCAATTCCCTAAACCTCTGCCCACCAGGCTGTTTTAAAACACTTTGTCCTCCTAATTCTCAGGGAGACAGATTTGAGGGATTCTCCTGTCTCCCCACTTAGTGCTCTGTGTAATAAATTCTTTCTCTGCTATAAACCCAGCTGTCTCTGGGTGCTGACTTTCTCTCAGGCAACAGACAGATGAACTTGGCTGGGTAGCAACACTCTCTGTCCCTTCCTAAGTGATTTTTTAAAGCATGTATTTCTATCTTATCTGATTATAACTGCTTCAGCCCTAGGGTGTCTTACAAGATTAGAAGAGTGGGCATGGAGAATAGTATGGAGGGTTCTCAAAAAAGTAAAAATCGAACTTCCATCTGATCCAGCAATCCCACTGCTCAGTATCTATCCAAAAGAAAGGAAATCAATACATTGGAGAGATTTCTGCACTCCCAGGTTTACTGCCCAGCTATTCACTACAGCCAAAATGTGGATTGACCCAAGTGCCTATCAGCGGGTGAATGGATAAAGAAAATGTGGCATATATACACATTTGGAGCCATGCAAATGAAGGAGTCCTGTCATTTGCAACAACATAGATGGAACTGGAGGCCATTATCTTAAGAGAAATAAGCTGAGCACGGAAAGACAGATATTGTGCGTTTTCATTCATATGCAAGAGCTAAAAGAAGCGGATCTCATGAAAACAGAGACTGGATTGGTGGTTACTAGAAGCCAGGGAAGGGGTAGGGAGAGAGAGAGAGAGGAAGAGGTAAGAAGGAATATAAATGTATTTATTACCACTGATCTGTAAGCTTAAAAATGGTAAAGATGGTAAATGACATACATGTAATTTTACCTCGATAAAAAATTTTCATAAAAAAGATTAAGAAGAACATTGAGCAATGCTTGTGGCTTAGTAAGTAGGGCGCCAGCCCTGGATACCGAGGGTGGTGGGTTTGAACCCAGTCCCGGCCAAACTGCAACAAAAAAATAGCTGGGTGTTGTGGTGAGCGCCTGTAGTCCCAATTACTTAGGAGGCTGAGGCATGAGAATCGCCTAAGCCAAAGAGCTGGAGGTTGCTGTGAGCTGTGATGCCACAGCACTCTACTGAGGGCGACAAAGTGAACTTTATCTCTAAAAAAAAAAAAAAAAAAAAAAGATTAAGAAGAACAGGGATTCTGTAGTGGGCACATTTGCCATACACCCAGTTTGGTAAAGGGAAGGCCACTTGGCATTGTTCAAGAAGCATGCAGTGACTGTGTGGTCAGCTCAATGAGAAAATAGACATTGGTTTACCAAGTTTTAGCTTTGTCTGGAAGCCAAGACCATATCTTCTGAAGAGTTAAGCCCACAGAAGACAGGCCTGGCCATGGGTTTTAAATTTTTTTTCCAGGTAATATCTTTCATATAGGATGAGTTCATACAAATTTACCACTCCCCAGTAGACAGATAAAAGGACATTGACAATCCACAGAAGAGAAAATACACCTGTTTAACATGAAAAGACGCTTAATTGTGCTAGAAATCAAAGCAGGACAAACTAAAACCCAATCCACTTTTTTGTGATCAAATCATCAAATATCCAGCCAAGTACTAACACCCAATACGGCAAGTTGGCAAACTTATCCTTGCTGGTGGCAGGATGAGTGGATACAAACATTTTTGGAAACCATTTTGTCAATATGTAATAAAAGCCTTAAAAGTTTTCATATTCTTCAATTTAATAATCCCACCTCTGGCAGTCTGTCCCAAGGAAAGCACCTGACACAGGGAAATCCTTATACGTTGCGATCCTCATCAATTGCTAGCCGTGAAAACTTAGTATCAGTGATCACAGGTTGGCCATCCTGAGGTAATTTTCCTCCTCTTTGTCAAATTTTGCACCACTAGATACAAGATTTGGGGACCATTTTCAGTCAGCCTGACATGACTCTCCTGGGCTATGTACCTCCCACATGCATAGGTGCTGCTGTCTGCGGACTTTATCACGGAGCCTCTGCACTTGGTCACCAAGTCCCCTCCTTTGCCACATTCACTTTTCCATGATCAAACTGCATGCATTCTCCCTACACAAAACCTGTACGTAATTGCGTTTGTTTGGACTGACAGAAAGGACAAGCCAAGCTAGTGGATCACCTTGCGTAATCAGGTTGTGGTTCACATGTCTAGATTCTAATTTTCCCCACAGTCTTGGTCCTTTAGACTGTGCATTGATTTTTATCTACTGAAACTTTTCCATTCTATTATACATATTCTCATACATGGCTTCAAAATCCTCGCTGAATGGTAGGACATACATTCATAAAACAGAAATCTATCTCTGCAAAATAATGTGCGGTCACTTATGTGTGTTCTTTTGACTAAAATGAAAGATCCGTCAATGCCAAGTGTACATACATCTGCCTTGCTCACTGCTGTATCCCCAGGGCCCAACTGTCCTGGTGCAAGGTAAGACATTCAATAAATATTTGTCAAATGAATGAATAAAAGCTTACGTCAGGAGCCCACTTACTGATTATCAAGTAACCTATAGACTTACCGCCTCCATGATTTATGATAATACATTTAATCAGTTTCATTGGAAGGAAATTCTCCAACTTGTTTCACTACATTATTATTTTCTTTTATTTCTGATCTCTTGCTACAGCCAGAAATAGTGCTGTACTGAACAGACTGCACAGTGCCAGCTCTCTTCTGGAAGGGCTTTAATCCACTCTTGATGGGAAATCGGTCTGACAGCGCACCATCTGCTCTGATAGAACCCTACGTGATGGCATAGCTTTAGCTTATTCTCCGAGCAGTTCAACTTGTTTAATAGTTGTCAGAGATAAACAAGATTCAATAATAAGTGCAATTGAGTTTATTTTCTAAATTTTATTTTTTAAACCCATAGACCTCAACAATTAAGTCTGTCTTAGTATATTCTAATTTATGATCACAAGGAGTACACAGGTGATGTCAAGGCAAAACAGGTACCCCAAGGTGGCCCTATGAGTTTCATAGCTGTGTGGAGCACAGAGATTTCAAAATAATCACCAAAATTCCATTTCCTCATCTTTTTTGTTTAAGATAATAGAGATATAGAGAGGAGTATTTCCTCTCTCCTCTGACTACTGTAAAGTACATAATATTTTCATCGAAATGGCCATTTTAAAATAATAATGAAGGAAGAGAATATATTCACTTTATTTAAACTTGTTTTGTTAATTGTGTTGCTGCCCAGGCTGGAGGGCAGTGGTGTGATCATAGCTCCCTGCAGCCTCCAGCTTCTGGGTTCACATCATCTTCCTGCCTCCACTACCAAAGTAGCTAGGACTCCAGGCAGGTGCCACCACACCTGACTAATTTTTATTTCTTTATTATTATTTTTGTAGAGATTGCATCTTACTATGTTGCCCAGGCTGGTTTCAAACTTTTACCCTGAAGGGATTCTCCTACCCCAGGTTCCTGAGTCACTGGGATTGCAGGTGTGAGCCATCTCACCCAGTGGGAGTACATTTAGTTATAAAAATTTGGCACACCCGGAAGGATTTCTTAGTTTGCAGTTAAGGGCAGAGTAATTAAACTATCCTAGAATAAATGGAGTCACAAGTCACACAGTTACTACAATCCAGAATGAGAAATGCCAAAATATATACTTAACATTTTAAAATGTTACTATATTTAACAGTATCAGATGACCTTTTAAAAGACTTTATAAACAAAACCAGATATAAACAGAAATACACTACACATCCTAACAACTTTATTTTAACTCTATGTCCAATCAGGTATTTTTTCCTCTAACAGCTTTATTGAGACATAATCCGCATACCATGAACTCACTTTTTAAAAGTATATAATTCAGTGTTTCCTGGTATGTTCACGGAGTTGTGCAACCATCTCCGTAATCTGATTACAGAGCGATCTCATCACCCATTAAAGAAACTGTATAGCCATCAGTAGTCACTCCCTTCTCTCCAACCCAGGCAAGCCCTAATCTAATTTCCATCTGTTTGGACTGTCTATTCTACACATTTTGTACAAGTGGAATCATAGTTACGGGATAATATGTGGCCTTTTTTGACTCATCTTTCATTTAACATAATGATTTCATAATTCATTCATATTATAGCATTTATCAGAACATCATTTCTTTTTGCTGATGAATAAAATGCAGTCAATAAAAAGAAATGACCGCTAAGGCCGGGTGCAGTGGCTCATGCCTGTAATCCTAGCACTCTGGGAGGCCAAGGCAGGTAGAATGCCTGAGCTTGTAGGTTCGAGACTAGCCTGGGCAAGAGCAAGACTTCACCTCTAAAAATAGCTGGGTGTTATGGTGGGTGCCTGTAGTCCCAGCTACTCGGGAGGCTGAGGCAAGAGAATCACTTGAGCCCAAGAGTTTGAGGCTGCAGGGAGCTGCAATGCCACGGTACTCTACCAAGGGTGACAAAGTAAGACCCTGTCTCAAAAAAAAAAAAGAAAGAAAGAAAAAGACCAAAAAAGAAAAGACTGTCCGCTGGACAGATACACTGTTTTGTTTGTCAGTTCACAGACATTTGCATTGTTTCCCCCTTTTGGCTGTTATGAATGATGCATGAACGTCTGTGTACAAGATTCTGCGTGGGCGAATGTTTTCATTTCCCCTCGGTATCTATGTGGGGGTGGAATGGCTGAGTCTTAAGGTAACTCTGCCTTTCAGAGGAACTGCCAATCTGCTGGCTGCACCATTTTACATCCTCACCAGCAATGCATGAAGTTCAATTTCTGTACGTCTTTCTAGCACTTGTCATGATCTGTTTTACTTGGGCCACCCTGTCGATTATCTGTGGTTTTGATTTCCATTTCTTTGATAGTTAATGATATTAAGCATTTTTTCATGTGCTTATTGGCTATTTGTATATTTGTATATTTCTTCTTTGGAGAAATGTCTATGCAAACTCTTGCGTTCAAGCAATCCTCTTGCCTCAGCCTCCAGAGTAACTGGAACTACAGGTACCTGCCACAACACTTGGCTAGTTTTTCTATTTTTAGTAGAGTTGGGGCTCACTCTTGCTCAAGGTGGTCTTGAACTCCTGACCTTAAGCAATCCACCCACCTCAGCCTCCCAAAGGGCTAGGATTACAGGTGAGCCACTGCACCTTTTGCCCATTTTTTAAATCGAGTGGTCTTTCTGTTGTTGAGTATTAAGAGTTCTTATACAGGCTTGATACAAATTCTCTATCAGATATAATGGTTTGCAAATACTTCCTCCCATTCCCTGGGTTGTCTTTTCACTTTCTCAATTGTGTCCTTTGAAGTACAGAAGTTTTTCAAAGAACAAACTTTGAAAGAAGTTTTTGGATGAAGCCTAACCTATCTATGTTTTCTGTTGTTGTGCTTTTGGTGTCGTATCCTGGAGACTATTGCATAATCTAAGGAAGCAGATCGAGCTGTGCATAGTTTAATCATAAATTTTTATATTCCTACGTGATTTTCAGGGTAATCACCACCACATAATCTAGAAGCAGCTGTGTGGATATACATACACATATTAATGAAAAAGAGTCAAGAAATATATTTTTTAATTTATTGAATTATGCAGTCTTCCCAGTGCTGACTAATAAACTGGCGCGAATACAATAGCATGATTATGAATTATTCACAAATAATCAAATAAGACCATTTGTACTGGGCTAAGATATGAGACTAAGGAAGATGCCAAAGTGTAACAATATTCCTGTTACAAAAGGGAAAGAGGACACCCCATATGTCTAAGGCCTAACTAGAAATCTAAGTTTTTGGCTTTATTCTGTACTTTCCCCCCCTGCCCACTGCTTCAACTGTGTGATCCTCTGGGCCCTGCTCTGTGCTTGGGAGGCTGACCCCATAAATTATCTGGGACTTCCCTGCTGGCCCAACTTCCTGTTGAAGTTGGACAAAGGGATGAAAGAGGAGAAAAGGTTGTGGTGCTTTTTCTCTGCTCCCTCCTTATTTGGGGCATCTCTCTGGCCACCTCCACTCTGCCCAGGCCTCCTATTTTTTTTTTTTGCCTGAATCTGTATGACCATCACCCCCATCCTCTATAGTGCCCTTCAGGAGAGTCTCTTGATTGAACTAGGTGAGTGGGATCCTCTTTCCTGCCAGGACTCCGATCCAGGCCCAAGCCGTAGCATTTGTGGGATCCAGAGTAAAGACAGAATTAGAAGTATATACTGTGTCATATCCTAAGTATTTAAAAGTTACAAATCTGGCTAACAGTTAAGTCAGATATGTTCTATCTCCTCCGTACTATGAAAAGTGGGCCTTTGTAATGATCTGAAAGGCTGGACTCAACCCTAGAATTCTGACTCTTTTTCAGAGTTCCACACGAGGAACATGACAGGGCCAGCTTCCCTCTGCCCCCACCCTTCACCGCACCCCGTCTTGTTGTATCCCCACTCTTCCCTGCTCAGAAAGGACTGTTTACTTTGAGTGTAGACTCTCCTTCTGCCTCCCTCTTTGGCCTAAAGGTGAGCAGACTGGGCCCCACCCACCCACAGTAGGAAAGGCTGAGGAAGAGGAGCTCAGTGGTCACATCCACTTGGCCCTGAGGTCTCCTCCCCTCGGGGGCTCATGTGTCAGAGACAGGCTGGAGCCAGCCCTCTAGAACACGAGACCCCGGAAGGCACTCTCCACAGGCCATGGAACATCACATAGCCCCAGATATTGATCATACATGTATCTGAACTGGTACAAACTATACAATCGTGATATTCTTTACATGAATTCAACTCACCTTGTTCAGTAGAACGAACCACTTTTGACAACATGGACCGCAGAACAGACATTGGCACAATAGCGAATAGGAACGGGCCCCTGGCTGTGAGAGAAATGACTGGAAGTCACTGGGGGTGTGAAGTGAATGGGAGACACGTCCTGTCTGTCTAAATATTTCCTTTCCTACGAGCATCCTAACTCATTACATCCACAGATTGCATCAATTAACTGCAGAATTTTATTCAATGAAATCAACTGTGGACAAGTCAATTTAAGGTCACTTTACTCTAGAATTCTTATTCCAGTGCTAAAAACAAGAGTTCATTGAAATTGTGGGTCCAGATCTCTATAATCTGCCAATTGAGCTTGATCTGCTTATTTTTCTAATTACATGGTCAGCTCTGTTCAGCAAATCATGACTGTTACTAGTTTTCGTGCTTTTCAGGCTCAGCAGTCTTTGTGATAATGTCCCACTCTTTATGGAATCATTTGTTTATAAACTGGCTCTTCAGCATGCTGCTTGTAAATTTTTGTTGCTGAATAACTTTCATGAACAAAAATTGCCTCTGGTCTCAAATTATGACCCACAGTAGTTAGTAGTATTTCTAGTTCTATCATAAAATAGTAACATATGTTTTACATTTGCAGAACACTGACGTTTTCTAAGTGTATTCACACTATTAACTTACTTGGCCTTGGCAGCCCTTCAGGAGACAGTGAGAAAAGCTGGTGTTTGCTGAGTATTTGTCCATGGGCTAAGTGCATTACAGTTACCTAATATTCATCATAGCTCTCTGAATTAGATATTGCTATGGCCATCTTACCAATGAGAAAATGAGGGCTCAGAGTAGATAAGTAACTTGCCCGAGATCACCTAGTGCTATAGACGGAAATTAAATTCTGTTTGGTCACTCTGCTTCCCTGGAAGGCAGCAAGGGGTTAACACCTCCACGGGAGGAAAGACTAAACCAGACCTTTCTCAAGTTCCCACTTGCTAGTTACGTAGCCTTCTCCAATGTGGTATCTCACACAAACCCTATGAAAACAGGAAGGTAGTTAAGAAATCAGTCCAGTTTGCCAAAAAAGCAACTCATCAAAAGTCAATTCACAAAAATGACCAATTTGCTGAAAGGTCAATTGGCAAAATCTGTCTAAAAGAATTTGCTCCTTGGCTGGGTGTGGTGGCTCATACCTGTAATCCTAGCACTCTGGGAGGCCAAGGCAGAAGGATCCCTTGACCTCTCAAGAGTTTGAGACCAGCCTGAGCAGGAGGGAGACCCCATCTCTACTAAAAATAGAAAAATTAGCTGGGTGCTAAGGTGAGTGCCTGGAGTCCCAGCTACTCAGGAGGCTGTGGCAGGAGGTTCACTTGAACCTAGGAACGTGAGGTAGGCTGATGCCATGGCACTCTAGCCCGGGTAACAGAGTGAGACTCTGTGGAAGAGAGGAAGGAATGGCAGAGGCAGGGAGGAAAGTAGGAAGGGAAAGGAAAAAGGAAAAAGGAAAGGAAGGAAGGGAAGGGAAGGGAGAAAGGAAAGAAGGAAGGAAGGAAGGAAGGGAGGGAGGGAGGGAGGGAGGGAGGGAGGGAGGGAAAGAAAGAATGAATGAATTTGCTTCTTTAATATAGTCAATGAATAGGAACTTTTTAATAAACCTTTAGTGTACTTTATATAATTATCCTCAATATTGTTATGGAAAGTAGCTTTCTTAGTTGCATTTTAAGAAATACTTTCTTTAGTGAAAGCTGTACTGAAGAACTGATTCATAAAAAGAAGTTCCTTGAAACAATTTTTTGGCAAATGTGCAAATTTGGAAAACTGTGGTTATCGGTGCCTTAATTTTTTAAGGCACATTTGGCGTTCAGCTTATCTGGCAAATTAGCTTTTTCCCCAAACTTGACTTTCAGCTCATTGACTTCTGGCAAACTAGCTTATTAATTTTAATTAAACTAGAATGGGTTAAATAGCTTTATATTTGACCTTTTCTCCCAACAGACTCATTTTACTTCATATAAACATCAATGACACAGTTCTAAGGATACAATTGTGACTCACCTAAAAACATCATCAGTGTTGTCCTGGCAAAAGCAGTCATGGCCATTCCGGCCATGGTGGTAAAAATTCCAATGAAGGCCATGTGAATATCTTCCATACAGTAAGAAAAAACCCATATTCCTAGGAAACTAGTCAAAAAAGAGGCACTCCCCAAAGCCGATCCATAACCTATAAAAACTTCATTCCAGCAGAGCGGTGAATCTAATTCATAAAGGATAAAAATCGGGGCACTGCCAATGATCACAAAATAATAAGTGATCACTGTAAAAAGTAACAAACAGAGCAAAGTCCGTTGCTTACCAGAAGCATTTTTAAAAAGCATGTAAGTTCGATAAAATAGGTTTTTAAAGCCTTCACCACATGACATAGTAACATTCTGAGATGAAGACTCTCTCATTGGATCACTCAGAAAAAATGAAATGTAGATCAAGTTGACCGCAAGAACCACAGCACTAATTGAAAATGACCACACGAAACCTAGCTCTCTAATAAAATAGCCAGATGACAGTCCCGTTAGTCCAGTAACAACGCCGAGTATAAAATCAATTATAGCTATTCGAATGGTTTTTTGTTTGTGTTCCTTGCACTGATCAACTATATAGGCCAGGCAAGCTCCAAAAAACGTGGTATAATTGCCACAAAATGCACCAATGAAGGTCGAGGCAATCAAAAGCTGGAATGGAAGTGCAAAATAGGAAAGCAAACAGAGCCAAATGGTGGTTGCAAGTCCACCAACGGAAGACAAGATCATAGGGAGTTTCCGCCCATAGTGATCACTGTTAGACAAAAGTATGAAGGTAGACACTAGGCCCGGGATTAACCCACTTATGTCCATCTGCAGGCTAAAAAGAGATGCTTTTCTCTGAACTTCCTGCAAAGAAATAAAACGAGAATGTGTTTATAGATGTTTATATGATGTGCATAAAAATATCATGGCGCATGCTTTTTTAACATTGCCGGTAGATCCTGGGTGGGTTATCTCCCGTGTGTGGGTAGGACTAGTAAACATTAAAATTTCTTCAATTCACAAAGCAAGGACAGGTTGAGTATCCCTTATCGAAAATTGTCAGGACCATTGGATTTTTTCCGATTTTGGAAGATTGGCATATATATAGGATATCCCTAAAATTCGTGTGCAATTTAAAATAGTTGTCTATATGGATGCAAAGATTCCAAATCTTTTCTATTTCAGTTGTCTATTTTTATTTATTAGTCGTCTATTTTAAATTGCACATGTGCCGGGCACGGTGGCTCATGCCTATAATCCCAGCACTGTGTGAGGCTGAGGAGGGAGAATCACTGGAGCTCAGGAGTTTGAGACTTGCCTGAGTGAAAGTGAGACCTTGACTCATGAAAAAAGTGAAAAAACTCAGCCAGGCGCCGCAGCGAGCGCCTGTAATCCCAGCGGCTTCCAGAGGCTGAGGCAGCGGGATGCCCACAAGCCAGGAGTCAGAGGTTGCCCTAAACTACCAAGCCACTGCACTCTGCTCAGGGGCACAGAGTGGGACTCTGTCTCAACTGCAAAAAAAAAAGGAATTAAATTGCACATGAACTTTATGGATACCCTGTATAATGAGAACTCTTGGGGATGGGACCCAAGCCTAAACACAAAATTCACTTAAGCTTCATATACAATTAAGTTCACCAACAATTAAGTCTAACAATTAAGTTCACCAACTTTCCACTGTACACTTGCATTGGCAGTACTGTTCACCTACCCAATAGGGATTCTTAATCTTGGTATGTCAGTGTCCCCCAGCTGTGTTCGTGTTGACATGTGGCAGTGTCTTGCTGAATGGCATTCATTATTATTGTTGCATGTTTTTGTGTGCTATCAGGAGAATGTTGGAGCTTGAATTAGAGCAACAAACAAACATTAAATTTCTTGTTAAACTTGGCAAGAGTGGGCGTGAACTCAGAGAAATGTTAGTCCAAGTTTATGAGGATAATGATAATGCCATCATTATCCTCACTGTAACGACAGTGTACAGCAGATTAAACATTTTTCTGAGGGGAGAGAAAGCGTCACTGCTGAAGAGAGGTCAGGGTGGCCAGTAACAAGCAGAATTGACGAAAACATTGCAAAAATTCCTCCAATGGAGTGTCAAAATCGTCAGCTGACTGAGAGAAGCATAGCAGACCAAGTAAACCTGGATAAACAAGCAGGAAAATTTTAACTGAAAATCTTGGCATGAGAGAGATGTGTGCAAAAACAGTCCCAAAGGAGCTCACCAACGAACAAAAGCAAAGGAGAGTCAAAGTTTGCCAAGACCTTTCAGAGAGGCAAGACCATGTTATCCCTGGTGATGAAACATGGGTGGACCAATATGACCCTGAAACAAGTGCAAAGTGCACAATGAAAGGCAGCCAGTTCCCAACAACCAAACCTGTTCAGTCCAAACCAAGAGTCACAGTGATGTTGCCAACCTTTCTGGATATCAGAGGGAGTGTTCGTTATGAATCTGTACTAACTGGATACATCATTTAACTAAGTTTACTACTTGGAAGTGCTGAAAATGCTGTGTGAAAAAGTTAGACGAAAACAACCTTAACCTTTTCACCAACGCATGGCTCTTGCAGCATGACAATGCACCAGCTCACACTGTCTGTGAGGGAGTTTTTAGCCAGTAGACAAATACCTGTAGTGGAACATCCTCCCCTACTCACCTGATCTGGCCCCACAGTGACATTTTCTTTACCCGAAGATAAAGGAAATATTGAAAAGAAGACATTTTGATGAGACTCAGGATATCAAGGGTAATACAACAACAGCTCTGATGGGCATTTCAGAGAAAACGTTCTAAAATTGCCTTGAAGGGTAGACTAGGCACTGGCATCAGGGCACAGCTTCCCGAGGGGGGTAATGTGGAAGTGATATTCAGCATGAGGTAGGCAGTGCTTTCTCTAGGATGAGTTCGTTCATGAACTCAATCATCAGACCTCCTATACTTGTATACCTCATATAGACAGCCTTGGTAATTTTACAAACTGTTAAAATAATTTTGTCCATGAACAAAGTTTGTGTTAAGTACTTATGTATGGAATTTTCCACTTGAGGCATCATGTACCTGCCCCAGAAGTTTTGGATCTTGGAGCATTTTGGATTTTGGATCAGGGAGGCTCAACCTGTATCAAAAGGTGACATAATTATCCACATTCAGTCAGGATCTTGAAGTACCACAGTGGAGACTTAAACCCAGGAAAAGAAAAACGTATATTGGTGTGTATGTCTGTCTTCTTAGGGGGCCTGGAGACTCCAAGGCCTCTGATACTGGCCACACTATGACTTTTCTTTTTAATACAGTTTGCAGGGAACAATCCTGACTACTGCTTTAAAGCAAGAGCACACCCAACCCCCCACCTCTCCCATCCTCCTCTTCCCAAGATATGTCTTCCTAACTGAGCTAAAGGAGAAGGAATAGCACCTGTAAGTATCATGCTTAATAGGCCTTTATTTAGGAAGAGCTCAGTTGCCCTTTTTTACCTGTGTCTCCACAAATAGATTAGTGAGAAACATATTTCTTTATTTACTAAATAAAAGAAAATAAATAAATAATATCTGAAGGAGAGCTTTGCATTATCTAAGGATGGTAGCTTGCCACAACTGAAGATTAAGATAAATGCAACTCCTGAGGACCAAATCAATGATGACAGACAACTATATGCACACAGATTAGAAATGTGACAAGCATTACGTAACAGTTATTTGTTGGAAAGGATTTGGGGTGATTTAAAAACATTTTCTGCTTGCCACTTCTATTTTTCAAATTTAATATATAGAGTATGTGCCATTTTTGTAACAGGATATATTGAACTCATTAAAAAAAATGATTTAAATCTTTTTCAGTCATTGAATGAATCACTGAAGGTGTTCTGGTTGCCTCCTGGGGAACAAAAAGCCGCTCCAGTGTGGGTGACCTGGTGCGGCTGGGATGATTTTTAGCTCCCAGAGGTCTAAGAGCACCAATTTTAAGGGAAGTGATCTAAAGTAGTATGTTCTCTTGAATATTAACTAAAAAATAGTAAATGAAAAAATAGTCAATCAATTTGAAAATTTGGCAAAAATCTCCAAAAGGAGAGCACTACTGGGCCAGGCCAGAGGAAGGCCAATACCTACCACCTGCACAGTTGCAGAGGCCACCAAGGCAGCTGGAGCAAGGCCTGTCTCCTCTCAACTCCACCGGGGCACCAGCAGAAGGCTTTTTAGACATCCAAGTCCTCTCTTCCCAGCCCACTCCCACTGCAACAAGGTATAGGGGTGGGGGGATGCTCCCAAGGGCCCAGTGAAGGAAAGCACAGAAATAGATACACAATCTATGAGCCTACCAAACCTTCTCACTGCAGGGAATGACATAATGGGAGAGATTCTTGAAGGGAGACAAAAACCACCAGGTGAGACCCTCAGCCCTTCTCTTTGTATGATCTCACTCTAGGCCAGAACCTTCATATCACGGCTGACCACAAATAATGAATTCCAAGCAATTTTCTCCCGTGGGAATGAGGAAATGAACAAGACCAGGGAATGTGCCAAACAGCTGGGCCTCACCCCAGCCAGTTCCACCTGACACCTGGGGACACCTCCGGAAGTGCCAGAGTCTCCCCTCTGGAGCCTTCTTGGCCATTTCCTCACAGTCCTCTCCCAGTCCAGCAGGAGGTGACTCAATTCCCCTAAATGCTTTTCATCTTTGACTGGGAAGGCAGCACCACTCTTTTGCCATCCCAAAATATCCCTAAGGGGAAGAGTTCAAAGTTTACAAGTGTGGTTCATTTCTGAGGCATCGTAGGAAAAAACATTTCCAAATCTGGAGGCTGTCTCTTTGTATTTAGACATAGTAGAATTTTATCAAAAACTGCCTGGTTTAAACAACAACAACAACAACAAAAAAAAAAAATTGGAGAAGGAGGCTGATGCGGGAAGAAGAAAAGCCTCCAAAACATGTGGCCAAACATTTTCAGTGTCCTGAGAGAAAAATGGGTCCACATAGCTGCTTCCTCAAAATAGGGGAGCCAAGGGTGATCCGGTTAACCCTACCAACTTGCAAATGCTCCCCTACCCACACCCTGTGACAGACACTGGCCCACAGTCTTCAGTGATGGGACACTTTCTAAAGCCCCTGCAAGCTAGGACATGCAGATACAGTCAAAGGGGCTGAGAGGAAGAGAGCAGGAGAGAGGCAGAAATGCATGTTTCACCCTGCCCACCCAGCAGCCCATCCCAGCCAGCCTTGCTCCAATTTTAAGACTTTATTTTTAACATGATGAAGGAGAAAAAGAAGATGAAACCCAACATGGTGGCTCACATCTGTAGTCTCAGCTACTGAGGAGGCTGAAGTGGGAGGATTGCTTGAGGCCAAGAGTTCAGACCAGCCTGAGCAAAATCAAAACCCCATCTCTACAAAAAAAAATTAAAAAATGGAAAAATCAAAACCCTGTCTCCACAAAGAAACAGGTGTAGAGGCCTGTGCTTACAGTCCTAACTACTGCTGAGGTAGGAGAATCGCTTGAGTTTGAGGCTGCAGTGAGCTATGATGATGCTAGTGCACTCTAGCCCAAGGGACAGAGTGAGACAGTTTCAAAAAATAAAATGAAAAAGAGAAAAGCTAGGGCAGTGCCTGTGGCTCAAGGAGTAGGGCGCTGGCCCCATATACCAGGGGTGG